CCCCCAAGGAATAGGACAGCCCAGAGCATCCCTGCCCCTACCGAGAATGGGTCTGGATCCCCCCCCATAGGGGGAGTGGGACAGCCCAGCCCCATACTGGGAATGGGTCTGGATCCCCCCCCATAGGGGGAGTGGGACAGCCCAGAACCCTCCCCCGTACTGCGAATGGCTTTGGATCCCCCCATAGAGAGAGTGGGACAGCCCAGAGCCTCCCCCGTACTGGGAATGGCTTTGGATCCCCCCATAGAGAGAGTGGGACAGCCCAGACCCCTGCCCCATACTGGGAATGGGTCTGGACCCCGAACCCCCACCCCCTGGAATGGTTCAGTCCAAGCCCCATTGAGGGCAATTGGAGAATCCTGAACCCTGCCCCGGTGACCCCTGACCTGTCCCTGAGGGCGTCCCCCTGTCCTCATCTGTGACCTTGTCCCTAAGCATGTCCCTAACCATGGCCTTTGACCCCTGACCTATTCCTGAGGGTGTCCCCCTGTCCCCAGCTGTGACCTCTGCCCTCTGTTCCTGCAGTGGCCTTGCTGTCCTCACCGGGGCCAGAGAGCGTGCAGAACCGGGTGGCCCGCACCCTCGCCAACCTGGCACTGGAGCCCGACGGTGCTCGGGACGTCCTTGACGCCGGTGAGCAGGGGCCCTGGGTGTCCTCAGGGGTCCCCAAGGTCTGCAGGGGATGCACGTGTGTTCCTGGGGATGCCTTGGCTGTCCCTGAGGTCCCCAGGGGTCCCCTTAAGTGCTTTTGGGGGTCCCTTGGCTGTCCATGAGGTCCCCTAGGTGTTCTCAGGGGTCTTTTGGGTGTCCCTAAGGTCCCCTGGGGGGTCCCTTGTGTATTCTTGGGGTCCCTCAGGTATTCATGATGTCCCCAGGGGTCCGCAGCCCATCCCCTAATGGGTCCCTGTGTCCCCAACGAGTCCCTTGGTGGTTTTCTCGTTCCTGTGGGTGCTGGGATGTCCTTGGGGTGTCCTCTGACAGGTGCCATGTCCCCAGAGGGTGTCCCCAACCTGCACCTCGATGCGTTTCTCATCACTGTGGGTAGCAGGATGTCCTCAACCTGTCCCATAACACACCCATATGTCCCCAAGGGGCATCCCCAATGCCCTCCTTAACAGCTTTCTCATCTCTGGGAGCACCAGGACATCCTTGGGGCGGCCCTTAATGGTCCCCATGTCCCCGAGGCTCCCTGCCTCTGCATCCCCTTAACTCTGTCCCTTCCCTTGCAGGTGCCGGTCCCCTCCTGGTGTCCCTGGCTGCCTCCTGTGGCACCCCCGAGTGCCTCCACAGTGCCGCCCGTGCCCTCCGCATCCTGGGGGCCGCTCCGGCACCCCGCCGGGCCCTGGGCCGAGCAGGGGCTGTCCGAGCCCTGGCCTCCCGCCTGGCCTCCCTCTCCCCGACCCACCCCGCCTGCCCAGCCGTCGCCCGAGCCCTGCGGGGTCTCACTGACAGCCCCGGCCCCTCAGCCGATGACGTGGCCCCTGCTTTGCCCGCCTTGGCTGCCCTGGCTGCCCATGCCAAGCGGGACCACCGCCAACCCGCCCTGGGAGCCATTGCCAACGCCTGTGCCCGCGCCCCGCTCCGACCTGCCCTGGGGGCCGCCGGAGCGGTGGAGGCGGTGACTGAGGAGGTGAGGAGGGCATTGGCGTCCCCCAATGTCGCCGGTGCCACTGTAGCCGTCCGGGCGCTCTGCCTGCTGTGCCGGGAGGCCGTCAACCGGGCACGGGTACGGGCGGCCGGTGGGTTGGGACTGCTCCTGCGCCTTCTGGCCGAGCCCTGCGCCCGGCCATGGCGTCCCCGCGTCCTCCTGGCTTTGGCCGCCTTCGCCTACGACCAGGAGGCGTTGGTGGCCCTGGAGGCCCGTGGCCTCGTCCCACTGCTCGCTGACGTCCTGCGGGCCCGGGCTGACGAGGAGGAGGAGGAAGAGGAGGAAGAGGATGAGGAAGAAGATGAAGAGGAGGAGGATGAAGCCGCCGCGTCGTGCGATCTCCCCCGGGAGCTGCCTGGCCCACCCGGGGCTGGGGCAGCCGCCGGGAGC